AGGCAAGCTGTAAAGGAGCTGTTCTCTCAGTGAAGTAGTGTTTGCACGGTGCTGCTGTGCTCTCAGAGCGATGCTGTGTGCGTGTACTGTGTGTGCTAACAGCGTTTTCTTCCTATTTCAGCTGTGCGGAGTATCACATAGAAGCCATCTGCATCATATTGAGTGTAAGCAATTGTTGAAAGAGTAAAATGGAGGAAAAAGAGAAGAAGAAGCATCGTGCAAAGCATAGTGGGCCAAAGGCAGAGAAGAAAAGGAAACGTTATCTCAGTGACCTAGGAATAGGTGACGAGGAGAATGCGCGGAAGAGAAACCCCAAAGCCTTTACAGTCCAGTCCGCTGTGCGGATGGCCAGAACTTTCCATAGGTAAGAAATGGGAACTGGTTATAGAGCATGAAAGGTCGGCTGGATAGATAGGTGTTGTCTGGGGTTTCTTTGTTAGTTGGTGTAGAGATATCCATAGTGTAATTTTCACTGCTGCGCTCACATAGCTTTGATAATTCATCAGGTTGTGTTGTAGTTTATGCGTGTGTCAGCAGTGTGTTACGTGGTACAGGTGTGTTAGTCTTCATGGGAAAAAAATGTGTGTGGGTCCTTAGACTTGATGGGAGTTCCACACAGACATTAGTATCTGGTTTCTTGGTGAACTTTTCTGTCTGAGTTTTTGCAAATACTGAAGACTTTCAAACAATAAATGTTACCTGTTTTTAAGTTCTTTTATTTATTTACTACAAATTTATCTTCAGAACTCAGGATTTGAAGACTAAAAAACATCACATTCCTGTGGTTGACCGTACTCCTTTGGAGCCACCTCCTGTGGTGGTGGTTGTAGTCGGCCCTCCCAAGGTGGGGAAGAGCACTTTAATAAAATGTCTCATTAAGAACTTCACAAGGCAAAAACTGGTTGAAATCCGGGGTCCTGTTACAATTGTTTCAGGTGAGAACAAAGATACAAGAAATGGAAATGCTTATTTTGCACTCCTTATTTGTCTTGCTTTTAGTGGTAGGATGTGTTCGTGTTCTCATATTTTGTGATTTTGGAGAAATCATTTGGATGTGTTTTCAGGCATACTTAGTAAAAGAATAATGAGATGTAGGCTTTTGGGGGACTTGTCCCTTTAAACTTATTTCCCCCCCTGCTGGGATCCTAATTCTGTGTTTTGTTTTTTTCTTTTATGGATTTCTTTTTCTAGTTTCTTCCATTCCCCAAACTTTTTGCAAGTTTTCATTTTCATTGGGTTCTGTTTTCGCTTTTGAACTGTTTTTCTCTGGCTTCGTCCTAACCTCTACATGTGTTTCCCATTCTTTCAGGTTCCCTGTTGTATAATCCTGTCTTTGCATCCCTTTCTTTCTTAAACCAAGAATTAATTAGCTTAGCCATTTCGAGTTACGTTTCTCCACTTCACCCCCGGTCAGTTCCTTTTCCTTTTTGTTATGTTTTCAGTCGCAGTTTCCACTTGACTTAGTTCCCTTCATACTTCTCCCTGAATATTACCAAGGATGATCAGTGAGGTTCTAGGTGGAGCACAGCCATAGCAGCTCAAGAAGGCAGTTTGTAAGGGAGATCTTGCTTGGATGCAGGCAACTGTATGTTTGGTGCAGGTATACTCTTCAGAGACTGTCATGAAATTCCTTTTTGCAAGGAATAGTTGACAAATATGAGAAAGAAAAAATGGAAACAAAAATTCGCATGTTAAATTGCATTTCCTATTTGTCTACTGGGACTCAAAGGCTGAATTTTGCAATTGATAACCTGAAGAAGGAAAGCGTGATACGTGTGCTGGCTATAGTTGTTTAAAGTTTCTTTTTGGAAACGGCCGAACAGCTCCTTTGGAAACATGCAATCAACCTGATAATTTTAAATCAAAAAGGTAAATTTTAACAAAATCATAAACATTTGAAAACAACTGTTTCTGCAGTGGTGCATGTTGGACGATCTATATGCTAGACAAGGATTTGAGTCCCAGATACTCTTTAGGAACTTCAGGAGTGTGACCTGAAAATAAAACAGTGGTCTAATTAGTTTGATCCCTCTGTCTCAGTTTTTGATTCTTAATTCTGTTTTCAGGTAAAAAACGCAGGCTAACTATTATTGAATGTGGATGTGACATTAACACAATGATTGACCTGGCTAAAGTTGCTGATTTGGTAAGTTAACAATGGCATGTGATTACTATAATTTATATTGAAGATACTGGACTGCACCAATATCTGATTTCTCTACCTGTTGCTATTGAAGGCAAAACTGTCTTTAGTTTCAGAGAGAGCAGGACTAAGCTCGACCATAAACATAGTGTTCTGGAACAACCGCTAGGACTTTCCTTATCTTGGGGGCTGAGGGGAAATAAAGTGTGTGTGCAGTGGTGGGGAAGATGTGGAAGAAGGGAAATGCAACTGAACTTCATTGCTAATGTAACTGGTAAACTTCTAATAACAAGCCAAGGTGATAAAGCGATTTCTCATCAAGGGATTTGGTCAAACCATGTAAAATCTGAAAATAGCTTTTAGCCAAGAAGTTTGTAACTAATGTGTAAAGTAGAAATATGTATTAGTTTACTAGTTGGTTTTATTTGATGCACTCTGTCTCTTTTGAAGATTGCTGTGTAGTGTATGATTGATTTCAGTGGACTGTAGTCACCATTGTAATTTTCTTGCAACTTTTGGTTCAGTGGATTATGTCAAGTGATCCTGGGGACAATCCATTTGTCTATTTAGAATTTTACTTTACATGTGGATTTGGAGTGTATTATTTATAGCTGATTAGGGTTTGGGTTCCTTATCTAAATATTTAAACACATGCATGCACGAATCCAGATATTGTTCTACTTGCCTGTTTTCTACTTGAGGAAGGGAGATGTATTTAAAAATACAAAAATTTTCTGTTGGTAGTTGTGACGGATGTTTGAGATTCTGCATGCACATGGTGATGCTGAGGATCTGTTCAGTTTTATTGTTAGGAGGCTGAGGTTACATAGTTGCTTGTAATCTCTGTCATCAGTTCCCTTGTTTTAAGTTCTTAATTGCTAAGGCCCTAATACGACTTTGCTTCAATTTTCGTGTGACTGTTGGGTGCTGTTTTCCTGTGTCTGTGTGTTTTAGTGGTGTGTAACAGTAATTGCAATGTGTGAAGTGAGTTTGTCTCATTTTACCAAAAGACTCTGCCTTAGAGGCATTAGTGCCTTTGAGACACAGATATGAAAATTTTGTTCATTTTCTCACACATTCCTGCAAATATTGTAAGATACTCAATTCTGCATATTTTAAATTCACCAAGTAAACACCTGTGCGGACCTTATTCTGATACTGTATGTTACTGCATTCATAGAGCAGCCTTTTTCTTCTATAGTTTCTCGGAGATGATGAGCAAATCAAATCTAAGTAAAGGCGATTTGATTAACTGGAAGAAGAGATTTTATTTTTTAAGCCCCACTAACTTCTAAAGCAGCTAAGATCCATACTTTAATTAAAAAGCCAGAGTTGATTTTCAGGTTATATGAAAATAAGGAACAAAACTTCTTGCAAGATTTTGGTTCCCAAGAAGCTTATGACTTTAAAGGTGTGGTCTTTGAAATTAGCTCGTGTGGGCACTGTGGTATTGTTACAGTGAAATGTTGATGTTGTGTTTTCAGGTTCTAATGCTAATTGATGCCAGCTTTGGATTTGAGATGGAAACATTTGAATTCCTGAACATTTGTCAGGTACATGGCTTTCCCAAAATTATGGGAGTTCTTACCCACCTGGATACATTCAAGAACAACAAACAATTAAAGAAGACAAAAAAGAAGCTAAAGCACAGATTCTGGACTGAAGTGTATCCGGTATGTCAACATTCTTTTTTCCATGTATTCTGCATTCTGGAAGCTAAATTAAAAATGGGGCAATAATTAAGTGTTTATTATGTTCTTAAATCTTAAGTAATACTATAAATGGACAATGTTGATGTTGTATCAGTGTATGTAATCTTTCTTTTATTTGCTAAAATGCTTGTGTAATTCCAATTATTCCACCATTCCGATGTGACTAGCTACTGAACATGTGATACTAGTAAAAAGGTCTGTTGCGCAAGTGCTAATGGGAGGAGAATGTGTTTGTAGGTCTCAGAGACAGATTAGCCTTTGTACAAGGTTTTCCAGATGTGAATTGCTTTTCCCTAAGATTTAGGAGGCAATTTTTGTGTTGAAGTAAACTAGTTAGTTTGATCTTTTGTAACCAATTGTAGCCTGCATTTTCTGATTATGATTTACAAATTAGAATTGTATTACCTTTTTTAGTTTTGGAGGTATTAAATTGATGTTTAATGTTTTTGTGTCTTTTTAATGTGTTTAGGGTGCTAAGCTGTTTTATCTGTCTGGGATGGTTCATGGAGAATACCAAAAACAGGAAATTCACAATTTGGGACGTTTTATCTCGGTTATGAAATTCCGACCTCTTACTTGGCAAACATCTCACCCATATGTTCTTGCAGACAGGTGTGTGCTTTTCTCTCTGTTCTTCAATCTCAGCATAAATAGCACCTTGCTGTTTAAAAAAAACTATAATATTAGGGCCAGTCACTGTGTGAATGGATATTTAGTGTTACCTGGATGGCTTTGTGGAAATGAAAGTGTACTCTTCAGGTTTGTGTGTATAACTTTAGCCATTGGGTTTTCACTTGCATTTGATTATGTAGGTAGGCCTTTAGTATATTGTAATTAGTTTGGAAAAACAGGAAAAAAAATCCTGCTTGTTGATTATTGTATTGCATTTCTGTGGAAAAGAAACAGCATTCCAGGAATTTGACAACAGCTAGTGAATTAGTCCTCTGAGTTCCCTGGAACTTCCCTTCTGCTCCATCTCCACGTATAACATTTGATTCACAGGGTCTTTGGAACGTGAAAGTAGTCTTGATGGTGGCTGTGCCTACCTGAGAAATTACCTCACCTTTCATATTTTATTGCCATAATGCTTACAGTTATGACTAAACTCCCACAAGAATCCAAGGTGCCTCAACACGTCTCTTTGAAAGCTCTAATTCTTTAGGAAAAAAATTGTTGAAGAAGTAGATAGGCATCATGCAAAGTGCTGCAAAATACACAAAGCAAAGAGAGGGAAAATGGGAAAAAAAATTGTAGTCTTTCAGTAACATTGTTTTAGGTTGCTATAGCTGTTACAATTATTTTGGTTGTTGGGTCAGTTCAAGCTGTCTGCAGCCAGAACATGTGTGCCTTCCTTCTCCTTGTCTGTCTGTTTGTTTTGCTTCCCTTGTGCAGTGTAGAAAGGAGCTCTCTCTGGAAGGAGTTACCCCCTCATCTGCCTGAAAACAGCCAATCTTACCCTCTCCCTTTTCCTGTGGTAGTTTTTGTGTTGCTCACTGCCATTATTAGGGAAAAGAATGTATTATGTGGGTGCAGGGAGTGTGTCTCTCAGATGTCTTAAAATGGTTATTCTGTTTTCCTTCTAATGGCAGTATTGATTCAAGGAGACTTGTGTGTTGAAAGCATATAAACAGTAATTAAAATGTGCTAAGAACGCAGTGCATGTCTAGTGAAATATCAATAAGTCTTCTGGAAATCTAATGTTGAACATGTTTATGGAAGTTTTAAAATACAATTTTAAAGTATTTTTTAAAGGTCTTTTTTTCTGTGGATTTTTTTCTTGTAATCATTGCCATTGCACGCAGTGGCAACAGTAATGCTGCAATTCTCTTTTCTTAAATTACCTTTTTTCAAAATTTACTATTAGGACTGCTGGATGTTCTAAGTTTTTTTTTTTTTAATTTTGGGTAGAATGGAAGAGTTGACAAACCCAGAAGATGTTCGAATCAATCCCAAGTGTGACAGGAAGATATCACTTTATGGATACTTGAGAGGAGCACACCTAACAAACAAGAGTCAAATTCATATGCCAGGTAATTTATTAGATTCTTTAAACTGTTTTTGTACTGATCTGTAAATAACAGCATAGCTGTTGCTGTTTTTACTGTGGAGTGATTTGTATCTTTAGACTGTACATTGGAAAAGAGATTTTTCACCTTGCTAAATGCGTATGGTTTTGGAAATTATTTTTCATAATACACATTTGTAAAAATAAATCCTTGTAAATAGTTTTGCTTTTAATTATGCAGATTTGTTGCAGTGTTAAACACAAAATTGGCAGTGTCTGAAGTTTTTCAAAGGTGCTTCACTTTAAAAGGTGCTTGAAGTGCAAAACATATCAACCCTAATAATGAAAAGTAAATTTTCCTTATCTAAAATTTCTCATATTCACTGAGTAAATTTAATATTTTAAATTAATTATTTAAAAGCTTAAATTCAGGAAGATTTTAGTAATAAATTTACAGATCTACTCAGAAAAGTGAGTTGCTAGTTTTCTCTTTTAAAAACAAGCAAACAAACCCAAAGCTTTACAGTATTCTGATGGACTTCTCTAAGTTCAGTGGTAAAGCAGAAGAATTTCATGTTTGTTACAGAGCTCGCTGTTGATGAATCACTGAATGCTACAATGTTTGGGTT